TATATATATATATATATATATATATATATAAATATATATAAATTATATATATATATATATATATATATATATATATATATATATATATATATATATATATAAAATATTAATTACAAATTGCATTCATGAATTAGATTTAAACTGATAAAGATGTTACCTTAACTGTGTTTTACAATATTAAAAGACTACTACTCGTCGGGTAAACAAACTGTTATATTTTAAAACTTTTTTAATTATTTGTAAAAAAGTTAAATATTTAAATTGCTAGCAAACATCAAATTAATTTCTTCGTGGATTTTTTTTAGACATCGAAATTGCTATCAAACATTAAAATCTATTTTCTACATAAATTGCTAAAATTTACCACCCCTCTCCTTCCTACGTGAAACCTATCTACAGCCTCTTTCTCTTTACTTCCCCCTTCTTTATTTTTCCTTTTTATTTTTCTATCTTCTCCCCTCCCATTTCAGTATATCACTTCTATTAAGTTACCCATTTAAATAGGTCAAGGTCTGGTCACTCCTCCTCCCCCAATACTAAGTATGATTGAGAGAAATATTAAATTAAACCCTCTCTAAACTCTACCATGTCTCTCTAACCACTCCGTATTACACTCTCTGTTAAATTACAAAACACTTACACTACCCATCAATTTTAATTTCATCTTTTGAAGTGCTAACTGATAATCCAGCGTCCTTTAAAAAAGGTCTCTGTGAAATAAATTATTATAATGAACCTTAAATTGGTCTGTTTTTTTTAATATATATATATATATATATATATATATATATATATATATATATATATATATATATATATATGTATATATATATATATTATACACATATATATATATATATATATATATATATATATATATATATATATGTGTGTGTGTGTGTGTGTAAAAATGTGTTAGTTAATAAAAGATATATATTAAAACACAAGATCAGTAAGAAAACCTTAATTCCCGTACACATTTTTCTGTCTTGTGTTTGTTAATTAATAAATGTTTTCGTACTGATCACACTGTTACCATTTTGTCTGTTTTTGTTTTAGTTATTATATATATATATATATATATATATATATATATATATATATATATATATAGAGAGAGAGAGAGAGAGAGAGAGAGATTGATATTGGGGGTGTATTAGGGTAACGATATTTTAGTTTATTCTATAAGATTAATTGTACATATTTTCTTTTCAACATATGAAATATATATGTGTGTGTGTGTGTGTGTGTGTGTATTAGTATATATGTGCTTGTGAATTTGAAGAAACATGCCCATTCAAATTTATAATGCTGAAATTGCTATTGCAGTCTCGTGTTAAAATACCTTATTTCCCCTTTGGCACAGATAGATGATAGGCACCTTGGAATTCAAAACCGGTTGGCCGTTGAACGAGCAACACCATATAAGCGTACTTTCAGCAGCATCACCTAGTGCGGTGAGTAAGGCTGTGTCCCAGACACCACGGGAAAATCTACAGAATTTGCACATACAAACATTTTTTAATATATATATATATATATATATATATATATATATATATATATATATATATATATATATATATATATAAGTTTATTAAAGATGACAAACAAAGTACTGCGATTAGGCTTTTTATTTAATTTTTCTTACATTCAAAAAAGTATTTTCTTTTTTGGATGCAGAGTGTGTAGAAAATGTTCTGTAATTGCAACCTCTTTCGGCTATACTTTTAGCCATTATCAAGGATGATTTTATTTTTGCTTTTTAATTAGGTGTGTGCTTTGTGTGTATTTTTTTTTTTTTTAGAGTTATTGGGATGTTTTATTTTCCGAACACAGCATATTGTGGCCGTGTTCGTAGTTATAAAGTGTTGGCTTTTTCTTTTTTTTATTACGGCTTCAGTTATTTTTAATCTTTTTTTTTCTTTTTTAACATGTGGAATTATAAAGCAGTTGAACAGTTTTTACAGACTTTGTGTCCAAAAAAGAAAACATTGTTCGAACACGAGAAAAAATTAAATAAAAATGGTAATCATAGTACTTTGTTTGTCGTATTTAATGAAACATGTATAAATGAAGGATTGCTGCCTAAATACACACACACACACACACACACACACATACATATATATATATATATATATATATATATATATATATATATATATATATATATATATATGCATTTGCATCGAAGACACACACACACACACATATATGTCGAGGGATGGCGTGTTTGTGTTTGTTATGTGCTTTTTTTCTGGGTAGAACAAACGGTTTAAGAAATTCTTTTCCTTCGCTTTTATTTTATTTTATTTTTTTTTTTTGTATTCTAAACACTAACCTTTGATTCCTTGTCATTTTTCAGTCGGGTTCCTCGAAAGATGAAGAATGCTTATTTTTTTTCTTCTTTTCTTATCTTTTTTGTGTTTTTTTTTTTAATGTTTTATCTTTCTGTCTCTGCGTGCACAACCAACAAAAGTAAATCTTTCGTTTTTCGCAGAACTTGTAATTCAAGAGGTACCAAAAATAGTGAACAGAAAGAGAGAGAGAGAGAGAGAGAGATAGAGAGAGAGAGTAATAAACCTTATGTACGTGTATATCTGTGTATTTGTGTGTGTGTGTGTGAGAGAGAGAGAGAGAGAGAAAGAGAGAGAGAGAGAGAGAGAGAGGAAAATGAATGCGTCCAACAGTATTTTATGAGTCAAAGGTTATATATTTCATTTTCGGGAAGGTTTTCCTCTCCTATGTCTTAACATTAATTTTGTTAGATTTTCGTTTTGCTATTGTTAAAAGACGACCTCACCATGATGATATAAAATGGTTTTTAGTGTAAATACTTTTCTTCTTTCTTTTCTTTTTCTTTTTCCTTTTTCTCTTTCATCTTTTCATTCATCCAAATAGATTTCATTCGCCTCTTCTTGCCTTCACTCATTCATCTAGTGAGACGTTCTTTCTTTTATATTTTCACTTTATTTGGAATATCTTTCTTACTTTCACTTTCTTTCTTTCTTTCTTTCTTTCTTTCTTTCTTTCTTTCTTTCTTTATTTATTTATTTCATCTACTTTGTTTCTTTGTTTGTTTCTTCCTCTATTTGTTTGTTTCTTTCTTTCTTTCTTTCATCTCTTCATCAATTCGGCATACATTTCATTCGCATTTTCATTCATCCATCTAATACTTTGCTCTTTCTTTCTTTCTTTCTTTCATTCTTTCTTTCTTTCTATATTTCTTTTTTTCTTTTGTCAAAACAATAATTTTATTTAGCCTTTATTTTTACTTCAACTCTCAATGAAAATTTCAATTTAATAATTGCTTTCAAATTTATCCTTTTTTATATTTCTAATGAATAAATTTTATTTTCATTTATTTTCTTTTTATCTGTCTTCCATTTTCTCCCATATTTATTGATTTCTTTCTCTCTGTCCTTTTTCTTGTTTGGTTGTTTCTTTTTTCTTTCTTTCTTCTTTCTTTCTTTCTTTCTTCTTTCTTTCTTTCTTTCTTTCTTTGTTCTGTCCATTGATTTTCTTTCCTTCCTTCTTTATTTCTTTCTTCCTTCTTTCTTTCTTCTGTCCATTGATTTTTCTTTCTTTCTTTCTTTCTTTTCTTTCTTTCTTTCTTTCTTTCTTCTGTCCATTGATTTTTCTTCCTTCCTTCCTTCTTTCTTTCTTTCTTTCTTCCTTTCTTTCCTTCGTTCCTCCCTTCTTTCTTTCTTTCTTTCTTTCTTTCTTTACATTTATTTTCTTTCTTTCTTTCTTTCTTTCTTTCTTTCTTTCTTTCTTTCTTCTGTCAATTGATTTTTCTTTCTTTCTTTCTTTCTTTCTTTCTTTCTTTCTTTCTTTCTTTCTGTCCCTTGATTTTTCTTCCTTCCTTCCTTCCTTCCTTCCTTCCTTCCTTTCTTTCTTTCTTTCTTCCTTCCTTCCCTTCCTTCCTTCCTTCCTTCCTTGTTTCTTTCTTTCTTTCTTTCTTTCTTTCTTTCTTTCGTTCCCCCCTTCTTTCTTTCTTTCGTTACATTTATTTTCCTCTTCCTATCCGCCTATCCTTTTCTTTCTTTCCTTATTTAGTTCCGCTCATCAAGCTGTTTTCCTTTCTTTCTTTCTTTCTTTCTTTCTTTCTTTTCTTTCTTTCTTTCTTTCAATTGATTTTTCTTTCTTCTGTCAATTGATTTTTCTTTCTTTCTTTCTTTCTTTCTTTCTTTCTTTCTTTCTTTCTTTCTGTCCCTTGATTTTTCTTCCTTCCTTCCTTCCTTCTTCCTTCCTTCCTTCCTTCCTTCCTTCCTTGTTTCTTTCTTTCTTTCTTTCTTTCTTTCTTTCTTTCTTTTTACATTTATTTTCCTCTTCCTATCCGCCTATCCTTTTCTTTCTTTCCTTATTTAGTTCCGTTCATCAAGCTGTTTTCCTTTCTTTCTTTCTTTAAGACTAAACGGAAAGCACTTTTACATAGCCAACTGCAAGTGAATCTATCGACTTAGAAAGGAGAGGACAAACTGCGTGCGGTCATATAATGGGGGCGGGGGGCGGAAACAGATAATGCTTTAGCGCCGTTCGTCAGCGTTGCGCAGTGGAGGGACAAGCGAGACATACAATATAAATCAATAGACATAATATAGATAAAAGAAAAGAAAGAAAACCTACTGACTTTATCAACACCCAATGGAGACCCAAGAGAGAAACATAGCAATAAGAACAAAAAACAAACAAACGCAGTATTCATATAATCGCTCGATTCTCTTGTGACCACAGTCATTGCGTTTTACTTATTCTTAACGCATTTCTGTAATAAAATATTAGCACAGTAATATATATATCATTCATACAAGGTTTCTACTCCGTCCGTAATACTTAGCATCACTTACTTATTGATTCTTAATGCATTTAAGTTGTAAAATATGAGAGAAAAAAATATTATAACAAAAATGACTTTAGAAAATATTTTATTGATTCCTGACCACTGATACTTGCTTTCTTCCTGATGAGCAATGTATTTCTCTAGTAGATTAGGCTTACGGCCACATCAAATTGAAACATCAATTCTCGTATGTTCACCGAAGTTAAGCAACGTCGAGCCTGGTCAGTACCTAGATGAATGATCATTTGGGAATAACATGTGCTGTAA